GGGGACAGCTGTGACACAGAGCACAGGGCATGAGCTGCTCCCTGGCTGTTCAGCACTTCCCCTGTGCCATCCAAAGCAGCATCCTCCCTGCAGAGCTTGCCAGACTCATTCCGGGTAGGAATGAGGCTCATTCATCCCCGGCAGGGGCTGGTGAAGACCAGCACGCAGGAGACGCTGACCACACCACGTCAGTTCTTCCCAACTGCTGAGAAATAACATGACATGAAAGGAACAAAATAGAATTTTATTGCTCTTAGGCCACCGCAAACAGTAACAAAAGGAAATTCATCAGGAGGCTTTGAACAGCAAGAACTGATCTGGTGGGAAGGGCCTGGGCAGGACGTGCACATAGACCGACCCCAGACTCAGACAGAGCAGTGGTGATCCCTGTGCCAGCAGGGACTGCATTCCCCACAAAACCTGCCCTGGCAGTGTGGCCATCAGCAATGACTGCATTCCCAACAAAACCTGCCCTGGCAGCGTGGCCATCAGCTCCAGCAGGGACTGTGGGTGCTGCACATCCAACACCAGCACCACTGCACTATTGTACAATATTGTCCACCAGCGCTGAGTGTTCTATTCATTAGAAATAACCACGACCAGAAGCTGAGATGTTGCCATGTGTGAACCCAAAGCAGCACATCTGGCAGCACTCAGCAGTTGCACAATGCAGTGCAGTTGTGGTCCAGCTTCTGTAAACAAGGCAGGACTTGCAGGCAGCAAAAAGAAGAAATTATTTTTTCTCTCCAATGGAAAAGCCATCCTCACACACATCATTTCCCATTGGCATTGTAAAGCTTCCACTGCAAGGCTTCCAGAAGCCCTGTGTGCGTTCCCAGGCTACTCTGGGGGCAAAATTACATATTCTTTACAATGCAGTAAAAAAATCTATTGTATCATATTAATGGGGAGGCTCTAGTCAGCTCTAAAGCATACCTAAAAACATTCCAAAAACACAGTTTGGGCTAGAGTCTAAAATAAGGTTTCCCCAGCTTCCACCGTGACTACAGACTCCATTCACCATTGGGGGGTGAGGCAGAGATCACAAACTCTATTTCCCAGATCTCAAACACGGCCCAAAAATCCTGTGAGACACAAATCCACAGCTGGAAAAATCCAGGTCTGGTCAGCAGCTACTGAAGGCAGCCTGCTCCACGCTGGGGGCACGGGGGTGAGCTCTGCAGGGAGAACAAGGATGAGGATGGACGAGGGGTGATTTATCATGGGGAGCTCCCTCGAGGCAGCAGCACTCAAGGTGTTTTCTGCAGCCCTGCTGTGACAGGAGAAGCTCATCTCAAGTCACCTGCTGGGGCAGAAAGTATCCCAGTTAAACCAGCAGAAACATGGAAAGAATCCAGGGTGACACAGAAAAAAAACCCAAATACTGCAAACTCATCCTGCACTTTGACATTTTCACCTGCTAATGCAATATGCCACAGAGAAATCCCTGCCCACAAGAAGGAAGATATAAAAGCAGAGATCCAGGTTTAATCTGTCTTTAAAGCTTTTCAGACACTGTAAAAAAACCCAACAAAACAAAACAAAACAGAACAAAACAAAACAAAACAAAACAAAACAAAAAAAGGGTGGGTTTGTGTCCCAGGGTGGGTTTGTGTCCCAGAAGGACACAAAGTTCCTGCCTCACCCAGCAGGGATGGGCACCATGCTGGACCTTCTCGGGGTTTCTGCTCCTCCAGGAGAGTCACTCCTGCCTTAAAGCAAGCTTTTCATGGCCTCATGCTCCACTTTTAAACTAGAATTTGCTTAATGGAGATAGACAGGTCAGCAGGTAAGTGGGTCGATATATAATATATAGATACATATATAGAGATACATATATATAAAGGTGTATATATATATATTTTCAAAGGTAGATATATATATAAGGAGATTGATATAGAAAATAGACATACAGAAATAGAGAGACAGAGATGATAGACAGACAGACAGATAGATAGACAGATAGATGGATAGATAGATAGATAGATAGATAGATAGATAGATAGATAGATAGATAGATGATAAAGGTAATACAAAACACCCAGGTGTCTGCACCAAGTGCCACCTGTGAGGGCTCTGACACAAGGGCCTGAGCCCAGAGCTGTCCCCAGTTCCTGACAACATGAACTGTGTGAGGAAGGGCTGCCAGGAAAGGGCAGCACAGAAACCTCACTGGCACTGCTACAGCTCCAACTGACACGAGCTCCCCTTGATTCTTTAGAGCAAAGGGCTCAGGGTAAGAATTCAGTCTCTTTGTTTTGGGTGCTGAAATATGAAACTTGAGGTTTTGCAAGTCCCAGTTCAAGTGCTGGAACAGCAGATGTGCCTCCACCACTCCTCTAGAAATAGAAGCTTTCTTCCCAAATTGGAAGAACCACCATGGCACCTCATATTTCCAGAGCATGACCACAATGAATGTGTCCCTTCTGTGGTCAGCTGAAACAAAAACAATGTCCGAGGGTGCTTGATGATGTTTGTCTCCCCAGTTGTCCATGGGGATACAAGCATCATACAAATTATCCTTAGAGCCAATTAAATCATCTTTATTCCTGCCCCACAGCGCAGGTGAGGTTGGGTACCAGGGTTCACCAGGAGGTGACAGTGCCCAAGGCAGCTCCCCCATGGTCTGCCCAGCAACAGCATTTCAAATTCCATTAAGAGCTACATAATAGCATCTTCAATTCAAGTTAGAATTTTAAATTGTGTCTTAATTTGCATCTTTCTTACCTGTAACATATCTCACTGTTCTAAGTATATAAAAAGGTATTATCTGATAAAATAGTATATTTTACAGCTTTTTTTAAAAAGCCTGGAATAAACAAAAATCTTGGAAAGAAGAACAAAAAACCCTAAACTAATATGCTAAAAATAATATAAATATTTATTTTTAGAAAGCACCAAATCAACTTCATTACACAACTTTGAGCCTGGCAGACACACACTGCACCAGCTGGGCAATACACAGGGCTCCTGGGAATGCCAACCTTATTCCTCCCTCTCCTTGGGACCAGGAATGTCACAGCCTCTCCTCCCTGCTGAGCAAGGCTGGGTGACACCGATGTGACACCCCAGACCAGCTGCCACCCAGGCTGCTCAGGTCACCCCCAGCACCCAGGGCTCAGATTTGCTGCAGCTGCATCAGCCAAGGAGGACCCAGCAGTGCCCTGGGGTCCTGCACCCTCCTGTCCCCCAGCAGAGCCTGTGCTCGTGGGACATGGAGCTGGGAAAATACCGAATTGGGACACCTCGAGAAATGCAGGAGATTTGTCTCCTGCAAGCAGAGCTGCAGTTTGTATTTCGCTGTGTGAAACAAGCTGGGACAAAGCGCTCTGTGTTTGCAGCCAGGCTCTAAAGACCCCACGGAC